AATTTTAAAGAGCGTGAAGTACATTAATGATGCTTATAATTACAAAATAAATATCACACGCTTCTAAAACATTATTTTAGCTAATATTCATATTTTTGAGTGGGACCATTTTAAGCTATGTAGGACCCACTAGGTACACTGAAAGCTTGAAGTCTGCGACTGAAGGGGCCATAGGTCAAAGCAAAAACAAGTCAATCAAATAATTTATTGTTCCTTCCGACACATATAATGTATAGAACTCATCAAAATGAATACAAAATTTAAAATATAAAAAACAAACATAAACAACTAATCTACAAACAATTGAAATCTCACAAAACAGAATATTCTGTAGCGGCGTAAAAGCATTTTTTTATAAGAAACTGCTGAAGGTTTATTTTAAAACATCTCGTATCTTTGGCATTTCTTATGTCTACTGGCAAACTGTTGAAAATTTTTGGTCCCAAATACTTTGGAGACTTCCTGGAAACATTGTATTTTACAAAAGGTACATATAATTGTCTTGTATTTAGTCCATGAACATCTTTATTTTTTAAATAGTTTTCTAAATTCACGTATGTTATTATTATTAATTCATATATATTTACAGGGTGGCGCATCGAAAACGAAACAGACACATTTACTGGCAGCTCAGGTTTTTTTTTGGAAAAACGCTCAGACCCGTCGATTTTGTTTTCGAGGGGAACACAAGTTTGGCAAAAAATCACGTTAGCACGTGCAGCCCTAAGCGGGGGTGACACCACCCCCAAAATCTTAAATAGAAAGGGGGGTCGAGTGATACCTTATTTTAAAGGTCTTTCAATTCCCTTTATAATGATATAAAATTAATGTACTTCAGTTCAGTAGCTTTGAAGATTTATTGATTTAAAGCTTAAATAAAACTAATACATCATCATTAGTGGAGATCAATACATTTTGCAGCAAAGTAATTTAAAAATGAAGAATGAACTGACCCGTTAGGCAAGTAAATGTTGAAAATGGCCACCATGACTCTCCATGCAATAATAAAGATTTTGCTCAAAACGTTACCGCACATTTTGCAATATTTGAGGAGTAATTTGAAGGCACTCATTCACAATCCTTTGTCGCAGGTCTTCTAATGATGTTGGCTGGGTAGCATAGACTTTGCTTTTTAAATGACCCCACATAAAGAAATCCAAAGGTGATAAATCTGGCGATCTTGGGGGCCATTCAATGGCACCTCTTCTACCAATCCATGGATCTGGAAACGTCTGATCTAAATATTGTCGAACACGTAATGCGTAATGTGGTGGGGCACCATCCTGTTGGAACAGCAACCTATTCGCAATGTACCGCCGCTCATTCTGATTTTCAATTATGGCTGTTAATGCAGGATCTATGGCGTCTTCCAGTAATTCCAAATACATCTCACCGGTCAAATTTCCAGGTAAGAAAAAAGGACCAACTAAATGATCGCCAAAAATACCAGCCCAAACATTTAATTTTTGTGGCTACTGTGTATCAACCTCATGATAAATTCTGGGATTAGAATCGGACCAATATCGGCAGTTATGACGATTTATATTTAAGAAAAAGGAACATTCGTCGGAAAAACAAGTGTCGAATAGAAAATGTTCATCGTTTATAATTCGTTCACTCATATCATCACAAAATTGTAATCGCCGATCAAAATCGTCTTCATTAAGTTCTTGTACCAAGTGAATTTTATACGGATGAAAACTATGGGCCTTTAGAATCCGTTGGACAGTACGTCGACTAACACCACACACAGTCTCCAATTTGCGGATACTTAACGTAGGATCTACATAAACTTGCCCTAAAACCCCCTACTTCGATTGCTTCGTTCCTTATGGGATTTTCAATGTTGCGTTGTTTATTGGCGACTGACCCAGTTTCCCGAAATTTAGCTACAAGTTCTAGAATATATCTTCGATGCACGTTACTGTTCTCATGTCGCTCATTAAATATTTCTGCTGTTCTATTAGCGCACTGATTATTTCCGAAAAATATTTCGATAATTTCAACTCTTTCTGCTGTGGAATATACCATGATTATTTTTTTTATATATCGAAGCAGCCGCGCAGGCAGAAGCCTAAATGCCGGAACACCGCGGCTGCTATGATGATCCCAAAGAAATTTTATTAATACGATCTTTGAACTGTCTAAGGTTAATAGAACTGGGAAAAGCTTCCTCTTGTGGATTGTTCCACAATCTCGACACCCTCGGGACAAAGGAGCGGTCGTATCGGCCGGTTCTGGATGTACGAAGTTCGACACGGCTAGGATGGGACGCCAAAGTTAGGCGGGTCTATCTGGCAGACACATCGCGCGACGGCATCATGGAAGAGAGCTCTGAGGAGCAAAGCCCGTTGCTGTAACGGTAGAAAAGAGCCAGATCGCTGACAGCCCGCCAGTGCGAAAGAGTCCCGAGACTGTCTGTTAGAGAAGAGTCATCGATCAGTCGGACCGCCCTCCTCTGGACAGCATCGAGCATGGATAATGTAGTCGGGGTGGCAGCACCCCAAACGTGCGAGCAATACTCAAGGCTAGGCCTTATCTGGGCCTTGTATAGAGTGAGAAGGTCATGCGGAGAAAAGTACTTCTCACCCCTAAACAAATAGCCTAGCTTTTTCCCCGCAGCTGCAGCTATTGACGAGATGTGTTCGTGCCAGATCAGGTCCTCGGTGACCTGGACTCCGACCAGCCGAAATGAATGGCTCTTTGGCAGAACTCGACCATCCATCGAAACCGAGTGAGCGCAGGGACGCTTTTTGTTCGTCAAAGTACAGTACTGCGTTTTGGAAGCATTGAACTGTACAAGAATGTTGCGTCCCCAAACAGTGATAGCCTCCAGGTCTCTTGTCAGAGAGGAAGTCATCGCTAGTCTTCTTTTTTCCAACTCAGCGGCAGAGATCGGCTTGTCACTCTGAATTCCTGCATGTAGAGTGCTGTCATCAGCGAAGCAGTGGATTGGGTTGATCGTGCAGGAAAGGAGGTCGTTGATATGTAAGAGAAACAGTGTCGGAGCCAAGACCGATCCCTGGGGAACACCCGCGTTGACGTTGTGGGATGAAGAGGAGAACCCGTCAATTGCGACAGCTATCTTGCGGCCAGAGATAAAGTCAGCCACCCATCTGCAAAGCTTTTCTGGAAGGCCATAGGATGGAAGTTTGCTTAAGAGGGCAGCGTGCCACAGCTGATCGAACGCTTTCGTGATGTCAAGAGCAACAACATGAGCCTCACCATAAGACTGGATGAGTTTACTCCACAATTGAGTGACGTAAGCTAAGAGGTCCCCTGTGGTTTGTTGGTGCCGGAAACCACACTGCCTGTCGCTAATCAAGCCGTGACGTTCGAGGTAGTCCAGAAGCTCACGATTTATGCACCTCTCCATCACCTTACTTAAAACAGAAAGCAGAGCTATAGGCCTGTAGTTGTAAGGGTCGGTCTTAGATCCCTTTTTTGGGATGGGTTGGACATGAGCAAATTTCCAGTTTCCTGGGAAGGTGCCGGATTCATAAGATATCTGGAAGAGACGCGAAAGAATTGGAGCAAGCTCCGGTGCACACCTCTTCAGTACAATGGCAGGAATCAAGTCCGGACCATAAGCTTTGTTGATGTCGAGCGACAAGAGCGCTCGTCTTACGGTCTTATGCCTGAATGTTACCTCCCGCATAGTGTAGGGAAGCCTTTGAATTGACGGCACTTGGGCGTTGGGGGGGACGTCCATGGTGGAGTTGGCAGCAAAGATCTTGGCTAGCACTTCCGCCTTGCCCTTTGAGTTGAATACAATAGTTCCATCCTGACACGTAAGTGGTGGAAGGCTACTGTGTGAGAAGTTCTTTTCAATCTGCTTGGCCAGCGTCCTGAAAGACCGACTGCCATTACGCTGCGACATTACCCTGTACCTATCTTTTATATCATACTGGTTTTTGGCATTGCAAACCGCTGCTTTATATTTGTTTCTGGACTCACTCGATCTTCTGCTGTTTATGTGATAAAGCGTTACAAGTTATTTTAGCAACAAAGTTTGGTCAAATCAATCGCAAACTATGTACTAAATTCCTATTTAAAATAAGTACGAGATATTTCCTTATCTTTCTTCAAGAAATAACTTTTTTGCCACAAAAAACGCTCCAATAGCTATTTTCAACAACAAAATGACAAACAAACCATGGGCGTAGTGAAGAAAAGCATTTACTTATTAAGTAAATTCTTTTAGTCAAATTTCTTCTGAAAGTAGTAAAAAGTAATCTGATGTACCTATTAAAGTCTACGTTAAGCTTTAAATCAATAAATCTTCAAAACTACTGAACTGAAGCTCATGTATTTAAATCATTATAAAGGGAATTGAAAGACCTTTAAAATAAGCTATCACTCGACCCCCCTTTCCATTTAAGATTTTAGGGTTGGTGTCACCCCCGCCCAGGGGGCTGCACGTGTTAACGTGATTTTTTGCCAAACTTGTGTCCCCTTCGAAAACAAAATCGACGAGTCTGAGCGTTTTGCGAAAAAAAAACCTGAGTTGCCAGTAAATGCGTCTGTTTCGTTTTCGATGCGCCACCCTGTATATAAAATGATCTTGATGAGATAGGTATATAGCAAAAAGTAGGAAAATACTGGGCAGAATCCGCAAAAAGGAGTAAAGTGGATTCGAGCAACAAATAGGATAGGTAACCCGAGCGATACGTTTTTCTGCTGGTTGGCTTCATCAGGCCCGAAATAAATGCACATAATGCATGCACAGATAGATAGATACCCTAAGCCACATCCCTTGAGAAATGTCTACATAGTCGGCAAATAATACATAATCTGCAAATTTGTATTGTACGCCGCCGGCGGGGATTCTGTCGGTTTATAAAAATCAGATGGGCCATCACGTGTGATTATTCCTGCCCTGGGATCACTGAGGGCAAATATCTCTCTGGACCTTCCTGGGCCAAAAAGTAAGTACCTATCTTATATGTTTTAAAAAGGCACGGATTTCAAATGCCTCTTTGCTAATAGTGAAACTACAAGCCTCGGTAAATGAGTGGCAGGGCACTGGACTTGTAAACCAGTGGTCGTGAGTTCAATCCTCATAGGAGGCAGGTGGTATACTTTTTTTTGTTTATTTTTTAACACGCTTTTATTAGCTTGGCCTGTATGTATGTACGAACTAATATGTAAGACATTTCAATACCACATGTCCACAAAAAACTAGTTGATAATTCGAACTAAAAAATGAAAAATAAGTAATAGTTTAAAAAAACTAAAAAGCACGCTTTTATAGCTAATCGAACTAAAAAATAAAAAATAGTTTTTAATTACAAATAGTTTATATTACAGTAGTAGATAGTCGAACAATCAATCATAATTAATACCCTTAAAATAAAATTATAATAAAATTTAAGCTGTTAAGAGAATAATTCAATTCAGAGTAAAATGCGAAGGGTGCATTTTACTACATTTTCACAACTCTCCTCTCATAGATAGTTGCCAATAGAATGATTGCAACATTTAATATATCAAGCAGTCCACGCTTTTTACTCTGAATTGAATTATTCTGTTAATAACTTAAATTTTATTATAATTTTATTTTGAGGTCATTAATTATGATTGATTGTTCGACCATCTAGGGCTGTAATATAAACTCTTTGTAATTAAAAAATATCTTCTACTTTTTAGTTTGGTTAGCTATAAAAGCGTGTTTTTTTGTTTTTTTTAAACTATTATTTATTATGTGTTTATATTGAACAACGTTTCTCTGTGAATACTTGCGACCTATATATTGTTTTAACAGCCCTTTGCAGCGCCAAGTGAGATTGCTCAGCAACTAGCCCCACAATCGTGACAATATGTTGTATTATCACAAAGTAGTTTGTTGTCCAAAAATAGTAGGGCAAACGCTTTATTGTTAGATCAATTAGTAAAGTCATAAATAGTTAGCCATTACGAGAGAACAACTTGCAATTACCTCACTTGCAATGTTTTTAAATTTGCATATATCAGTTTTTCACTTACACAAAGACCTGTTCAGATAAAGGTGAACCTGTAGGATTATATAATAAGAAAATGTATTCTATATTGTAATATGCGTCTTAGATAAAAAAACGGTGTCATTGAATTAATTGAAATTGAAACTATTCAGTCAAGTTTTTACTCCTGCGCTTGAACGTTAGTGAAAATAAGTAATACAGTTAGTTTGTTATCAAGTACGTATTTGCAGTTTGTCTCGCAGATTACATGTTATTTGTTAATGTAATCACCTCATGAGTAGGTATAGCTTTTAGGTTTTTTATTCTGGGGAAATGATATTAAAAGTATCTTTTGTTATAAACCTAAAAAAATATTACCTGCATCAAGTTCAAAAAACTCGCGATCAAGATAGTTGCCTTACTTGCACGAATGATTTAAATATGATATAATAGATAAATATCAATGCAATAAATTTTACATGATGAGCCGTTATTAGATATTAAATAAGAAGTGATAATGTAACAAAAAAAGTTGCATCTGCTATTATTTAATACTTGCTTAATCTGTTATCTGACTATTTAATACTATTGATCGTAAACAAGTAGTAGAGATAGACAATACTATATCTAGTCCGATTGATATAACATCAGGTGTCCCTCAGGGTTCAGCTTTAGGGCCTTTGTTGTACTTAATTTATACTAAAGTTTTGGGTAGCTCTGTGAAAAACTCTTCTATGATGTGCTATGCCGATGATACACAGATATATAAGAGCTTTAATAGTAACACTTTACATACTTCAATCAATGAGCTTAATGATGATTTGGTGGCAATAATAGGATACTCAACTGGTAACAATCTTAAGCTAAATAAGGATAAGTGCTCAGTGATGCTTTTTTGCACTGCTGTCAAACGTAACACTATATTCAATTCTCTTGATGTAAAAATCGATAAGGATCGTCTAGCTGTCGTAAATACTAAACAAAATTTAAGGTTGATTATTGATTATACTTTACGGTTTAAGGGGCATGTTTCGTCTATCTTAAAAAAATGTTATGCAACTTTGAAGTGTTTCTATGTCAATAGCTCTATTTTGAATTTTAAAGTTAGAAAAAAGCTATGTCAGGCTATTCTATTTCCTAGCTTATTTTACTGTAGCACTGTGTTCTCTCATTGTCTTGATTCTATCATAAAATCTAGACTCCAAAAACTCCAAAATACTTGTTGTCGATTTGTATTTAATCACAAGAAGTATTATCATGTTTCCTTAAAGAGATTTCAGCTTGGTTGGATGTGTATAGAGAATGCATGCAAGTACCATACGTATAGCAGTGTTTACACATAAGATCATATATTCTCGCTCCCCCTTGCATCTTTATGAGAAATTTGTTCTCAGACGAAGAGACATTGATTTCAGACACAAAAAAAGACTATAGAGATCCCTATGTCTAAAACAACTTTATTTCGTAGTTCATACACTTACAATGCTATCCTGATTTATAAGGAATTAGATGACAATATAAAGGATTGTCCAGTAAACAGATTTCGTAAGCATGTGAAACAGAATTATTTGTCATTGCAGTAATTGTGGAAAAGTTAGTTTTCAATTCAAATTCAAATGTATGTCAGCCAGCTATCAAGTTCATTTGTTTTGAAGCGTCTTTAGCTGCTTGTCAAAGTTTCCTTTGATTAAGTGTTCCAATTTATTATTTGGGTAGGTTAAGTAGAGTAGCCAAGAGCTAGACTTCGCCTACGTAGAGGTCACATTATATTGTAGTTTTTATAATGTGCCTACTAAAGACATTTTATTATTATTATTATTATTATTATAAAAGCGAAAATCGATAATGAATGTCAATACAATGTTTTTTTTCCTTTTGGGAAAACATTTTGCTAGTTGGGAAAAGCAGTTGACCTTGTGAATTTTCTAATATTGTGAATTTTCGTATATGCTATAGCCTTCATATAATACTAAACTGTTCGCAGTAATATGATCCAGTATAAGATGGTCATCTGTCGGATGGAGATACAGACTCCTAAATGGTGCTTCGAAATGTGACCCGACTACATCGTTATACATGTTTGACAAGTTTCTTATATCGAAGCAGCCGAGTAGGCAGAAGCCCAAACACCAGGCACCACGGCTTGTATGAGGAGCTTAAAGAAACTTTGTTAATCCGATTTTTGAACTACCTAAAGTTAGTAGAACTGGGAAAAGCCACTTCAGGTAGATTTTCACAATCTCGATAAAGGAGCGGTCGTATCGGCCAGTTCTCGATGTATGAAGTTCAACACGGTTAGAATAGGAGGCTGGAGTCAGTCTATCTGGCAGCCACATCGCGAAGCGGCATTATAGAGGAGAGCTCTGGCATTATTTTGTGTGGGGACACTCTGTATAATATCCATATATTCTACATGTAATGGTAGTAGTGTTTTCAACATCCTTGCACTGATGACTTCCATACGCACCATCTCGTTTAGAATACGTAACGTAATATCATCTGTGAAGTGCAAGTTCAATGCTACATTGTATGCTAATGCTAGCAGTTGGTTGGTTACACAACAGATATTTATGGCTTAATCAATGGTTCTGTACGCCATTTCCTTGAAAATACCATAATCTCTAAACCAGGTATTGTATCCAAGATGAGTAGCTGACAGAAAGCTCGTCATTTAGATGAAATCTTAATTAGAAAATCGAAAATCAAAAATCGAAAATCGAAAATCGAAAATCGAAAATCGAAAATCGAAAATCGAAAATCGAAAATCGAAAATCGAAAATCGAAAATCGAAAATCAAAAATCGAAAATCGAAAATCGAAAATCGAAAATCGAAAATCGAAAATCGAAAATCGAAAATCGAAAATCGAAAATCGAAAATCGAAAATCGAAAATCGAAAATCGAAAACCGAAAACCGAAAATCGAAAATCGAAAATCGAAGATCGAAAATCGAAAATAGAAAATCGAAAACCGAAAACCGAAAATCGAAGATCGAAAATCAAAGATCGAAGATCGAAAATCGAAAATCGAAAATCGAAAATCGAAAATCGAAAACCGAAAATCGAAAATCGAAAATCGAAAAATTTAGGTGCGGTGAGTGATGAACATGGTGAACGGTTCCACCAAGACATTTCTGCTATGGAAAAACGGTATCAAGGCAAATGATATCGACAACAACATTCTGGGATTAATGTTTATTCGAGTGTTTATTAGTACTCTTACACACATATCCTTATATTTTACAGGTATAAGCAGCAAATAAAATGCCTTATTGCAAGAAAACCGTGGGTGATATAAAACATCGAATGCTATTTCCGGCTTTTTGGGTACGTCTTACATAATAACCATCTTGTTTTGTCCATGTCACAAAAAATTATTTTAATTTTGTTCACCAGTGTTATATTATATTATAGACATATTACTGTATCGAGGAGCTCCTCACTGATACTCCACGTTTTTTCTCAGTCGGTACGCACCGTCGCGTACTTTTGCAAAGGTTTTCGCGCTTTGCAAATGACGCTTCATTTTTCAATATTTTCGAATAAAACGTTTACAGTGTGCTAAAAACAAAGCATCACAGTGTACTATCGACCCACTTTATCATTTTTCCACTAGGACCTTTTTAAATAAATTAAGAAGTTGAACGCATTTCAACCCACCATAAATCTTGTGCATCAAACAAAATTTTAAAAACTGCTTCTGAACACACAGTATACATTTCATTCAAAAATATTTACACCAATGGGAGCAACACTTGTGCGCTCTTACTACGACAAATAGAAGTATTCACCCACCAAAACGGATGTTACAAGATCAGAAAGAAAGCTTGCTATTATGGTTTATCTGAAGTCACTTGAAATAGCATAAGAACCTTTGGTCGGCGCGACCTTTGTAATTACATGACGAATTATAGGCGTGCGGTTATTTATTTAGAACGATAATAATAATGTTTTTATATCACAATAAATGGATTTTACTATCTTCTTATTTTTTTGATTTGGGATAAAAAATATTGGGAGTTTAATTTATGTTGACTGAAAGTTAAGAAATGGAAAAATTACAGAATTCCAACGTTTGACATAGGCAAATATTTACATAGCAGGTAGGTTAAAAAGGTATATAAAGACTTACATTA